AATAAAATATTTTGCTTCGTTTAATGAATGTGTTATTCGTTTTTACGTTATTTGCACATTCCTGTGTTGCTGGATATGCACGGTTGATATTTTAATCTGGATTATTTTTCCTTTATTATTTTTTCATAAAGAATCGCTTTTACAATGTCAGTGTATTTGATAGAATTTTACCATTAAATTAATGCATTTCTTTAAGTTTCTGATCGCACGATCATTTTTCTCAATACTATCAAATATGTCATGATATTTCTCGATCAAGCGCCCCATTCTTTAGATGTTGACTATGCAACAAACGTCGGATATCCGTATCTTCAATGTGACGATAATGAATCATGTATTATTTGAAACAACATAGAGTCGTTAACGTCTATTAGCCCACCACAATAACAAACTGATGACTATGTAAATGTACATCTCTTTATTTCATCACATTACACAAACCTGTAATGTATACCACGTAGTATTTACTTTAATCTATATAGCGTACTACATACCTGTAACATAAATCATGCAAAACATAACTGTAATTTAAATTAGATTTTACCTAACTTTTTCATATCACATTATACATAAGTGTAACTCAGATCACGTTATGTAAAACTGTAATTCATAACACGTAATACATTTCTGTAATTTTCATTACGTAATATCTAAATACAAAACTGTAATTCTTACCAGGCTATTGTTATTGTAAATTATTTAGCGTAACACATAACTGTTATTTGTATCATAGTTTGGGGACCTTTCTATTGAAAATGTGTCCGAGTTAAATCGTATACATATACATGTTTAGTGCGTTAACTGGAGTGCAGGTATATGTTACCCGCACTCCAGAGCATGCCCATTGATTGGTTCATTTTTGCTGTGGTTTACTTATTGTGACGACAGAGAAAGGGTTCAGATGCTCGTTAATTGGTTATTTTTTTTCCGGGGTTTTAAATTGCGACAGCAGGGAACGTGTTTTTATGTTTTACTTTGATAAAAAAGAGAAAGAACATCAAAACACTCGGCAATCTGACGCCCCCTTGTACAAATCAGATAGCCTCGTGTTTCGATGCTCTTTCTTTTACATATAACATAACTCATAATGGTAATTCACAACATGTAATACATAACTATAATTCATATAATGTAAAACATAACTGTAATATATATCACGCTATTTGTAACTGCTAAGTATATAACGTAACGTATAACTTTAATATATCAGGTAATGCATAACTGTAATACATAACTGTTATTCTAATCACATAATACTGAACTGTAATACATTACTATTATTAATATCACGTAATACATAACTCTAATACATAACTGTTATTTATATCGCGTTATACTTTTGGGGAGCCGGCATTAAACTGGTCCTCCCTGGCATGAAGTTCCATGTGCCGTATGTTACGTTCCTGGCAGTAGCATTTACATTATTTCTGGATGGAAGATTTACGTTGCAGTACAGGGGATATTTATCGTCAGGTGCTTGTAACTACAAATCACCAACATAATTTGTATGCGTTGATGGTTAGCAAGAAGGGTTACTGGTACAGATGCAAAATTCATGTTAATTCTTGACTATGCGTTTGGCAGGGTCGCGGGGCGAAAACACGCTAATTAGCGGGGGCGCGGGGCAAAGTTTTATTTTATTAAACTTGGCCCGCGCCCTCGCCGTTTTATTTCTAAAATTTCGCTCCGCGCTCCCGCTTATAAGCGTGTTTTCACTTCGCTTCCTCGCCATTTTAACTTGTTAATTCTCGACTTATCGCTTGGTAGAGTCGCGGGGCGAAAACACGCTTATTAGCGGGGGCATGGGGCAAAGTTTTATGATATTAAACTTTGCCTCCCACGCCCCGCCCCAGAAGTTGCCATCACTCATTTGTATTATTATTATAAAATGATTAATGAAGGAGAATGTCGCATGATTGTGATAATGCATAATTTAAACCAACATGTACCACTTTAGATTCCTAGACATGGATATACAATGAAATAATATGTGTGTTTCGTAAGCGATTAAAATTCAGTCAATATAATTGTGTAATACATATTATTCATATATTATACTGATAGTAATGGAATAGATGTTAATGTGCTGGTGTGGTACCTTTGATCGTACAAAATGACATTTTGCTTTGAAATGTGGGCATTATTGAAATATGCAGAGAACAGTTTCCAAAATGAAAGAAACATCAGAGATTTGATGAACTCATACAGTTTGTGTCAGAAATCAATTATTCTAATTTCTCTTACAACTGTTATTCCATACAGATGTTTTACATCATACAGACAAACGATCTTTTTAAAAGTACTCTCTTTGCCTACTATGCCATTTTGCTCATCAAGTATATATACGTGTTTTATTCTAAAGCATTATTTTCTATATCTTATTTTTTAGGTTTATAGCCAATACACATTTTTATTTTTTACGGATGTTTTTTTCTTATATAGAGTATAATGTTGATATGAAAACAAGAACAGTTTGGAAATTGTTTTACTATGTGTCTGTATATCTCGTTGAATTTGAGAAGCTAAAATTTTCATTCACCTTTAACATATTATAAACCGAGAAAAGATTGAGGTTTCCAATTCGACTGACAGGCTCAATAACATTGTGTTGTTAAACACACATTTGTAAAACAGTTGTTAGGCTGTTGTAAGCAAAAACGATTGTTTCTTCATTTTAAATATATGAGCATACATGACATCAGTTCTTGTTTATAGAGTTATAACCGCTTTCCGTTCATTAGCAAGAATGACCGTATTGGGAAAGTTTGAATATCTGGTTGATCAAATGTAAAAGACTTTCAATAGTACCTCCAGACTCACTTTGTAAAATATGTTATCTGAGCGCGCCAAACCAGTATTTTGAATGATAACAATAGGTTTCTGATAACACATTTTGTTCTTGATTGTGCAATTTAGCAAAATATTATTTGTATGTTAAACTTCTTCATACATCTCTTATTTAACAACCAAGGGCATCTTGGTACTTTGGTCCCTTTCCCAAACTGTATACAAATGTGTGTAGCAAACTCGAGCCAACTCGAAATAAATGCATTTAAAGTGTTTGAAAATTTGTGTTTTACAATCGAAGAATGTATGTATGTCAAATTGAAGCTGGTAAAGCAATAACTAAGCCTACAGTTGTAACCTGACAAAAAGAAACAACATAATTCCTCCGAAGGTGTTTAAAATCCCTTCAAAAGTCTCGCTGCTCTATATAATATACTCTCCCGCGTATCGTTCGAATGTTTAACTACCGTTCAATTTGTAACGTTAGACCAAGTGAATTCAATTAGCTGCCACGAGAACTTAAGTGTAATAAAAAGACCACCACATCTTAAACCCTTAGGTATTGAGGTTCAATTGACATTTATGCAACTCCTATGACAGAGGACATTGTTGATGATGATTCTGGCGTTTATGACCCTGTGTATGTAACAAATATCGAAAGAACATTCAAACGGTCATGTTGTTACCTTTGTTAATATCATACACTTCAACATTGTGAAGCTGACTGATTTGTTTTAAAGACATATCTTATATCATGTCATGTAATATGATATAAGACGTTACAAGACATAATGTGTTGATTTACAATATGGCATATTATATAGAGAAAATTAAATTCTTTATCGAACGCCTGAGACGGCAAAAATGAAAAGTATTGCCAGGTCCGTTTGATTGGGCCTGTTCTTGGTCTGAAGTGATGATTCCATAACAGAATAGTGGTATTTTTTAACAAAATAAAGAGTGTACATGCGTATATAATCTAGTATAACTTTAATCAAAAGCATCCCCATAAAACACATTTTCTTTGTACATATTTGGCTATAATGATCTGAATATCATCATATATATTGCTTTGTTTGCTGATTTCTAAATAATATTTTTTCTATATTGACCCATTGTTTTCTTTCCTATATCTAGTCTAATTACCTTAAATACAAAAGCACATACACACACTCACTTTACTAAGATTCCCAGATCAGGTTTCGAGCCCAGGACCTCGAACATAAGCGGAAATCATATCACTGCATCACATGATTCATTTCCAGTTGTTAAGAAAAATAGAAAAGCAAAACATTTTTCATACGTTGTAAAGATTTTAATGTAACAATTTGTATGATTATATACCGAGTTGTTTGATAAATTTACGTGATATTGAAATATTCAATATAAAAAGTCTTTCATCTTTTAAGATTTGTTTTGAAGCTAAATAACATAATGTTGCAAACATTCAGTAAGAACAGAATTATCATGCATTTAAACTCGCCATTGTCTGTACTAATCCTCTTTCATAATCAAATATTTAACTGGTATTTATAGGTTAACGGAAATATTGACGTTAGGTTTACATTAATGTTTATGTAAGACATGGGACATATGAATTAGATTATAGAATTCTATCCAAGTTTGATGTTTTAAGGTAGACCACTCCTAACGGGCACTATAAGGAACTGTACAATTGACAACATAGGACTCTTAAATGCTTTAAAGATCCTGTATGTTTTTTGATTGATATTGTTACTGTGTGTGTACCACACTTACAAGAAATTATATATGTATGTAATTATGTAAATAAAACAATTTTCAAACATCGAAGAATATGTAAAATATGTACTGCAAATATTTGTGCACATTTTATGTAATCAATAAATTATATGCATTCATTTCTTATTGGAAAATTAGACTTAGAATTTATAGAAAATAAATTTCTAATTACATACCTTTATTTACACGAAATGTTAAATTCGGTAATATCTTTATAAATAATGCTTTTTGGAACTAACAATATGGACAAATCCTATTTTTTGAAATACAACCATAAAGATGTGTAACAGGATCTACAAAAGTCACCTGTATGCAAAATTGAAATAAAATTTACCGTGTGATTTATGAATAATGTACATTTATCTGAACTTAAATTTTGCAATTAGAAGTTTTTTTTTCAGAAATGATGAAATTCTAAATAATTGACAATATCATCATCATGATTTTTCCCATTGCTCATTGTTTAGAAAGAATAATAACATCCAGGCAACGAATTACAACAGCAAAACAATTGTTTCTCAACAAAATGTTTTTAGAATGTATAAATGGTACCCTATCCCATCCACTTTAAAAACTTATTTGACCATTTACTATATAAAAAGCCTCATTCAAAATATCCCTAACATTTACAAAAACGAGGGGCTGTTTCTAAGTTTTGCTTAATTTTCTTAAAATGTATTTTGGTTGGTCTTGCAAAACAAAATTCTTTAACCATGTAGTTGCTATTAAACTTTGAAAATAAACGGTATCCTTTTTTATAATTTGCTTTTAAATTTGGCATTATATAGTTAATAAATACCTACAATAATTATGTAATTTAAAACAATCACCTTTTCTTACGTAAGGGATCTGAGAGGGACATATAAATAAATAAATAAATAAATAAATAAATAAGTTTCAATGCAGTTTCAATGCAGTTGATAAGTGATTCTAGCCTATTATAATACCCTTCAAAGTGGAGGTAATGCATTAGCAGTGGTCTACCTTAAACAAAAATCAGAAATATTAAGAACAAAAAACAAAACAAAAAACTGTCAAGGTGAATAAGAACACACAACACATGTAAGGTCGTCACCTTCTTTATATGGAGGACATTTCAGTGAGCCACATTTAGCTCGAACAAAGTAAAACAATTTTCCATTGTGATTTTGAACAAGAGATTGGCTGGCTGGTTCAGCTTCACCATCAACACAAACATATTCGGAAGCTGCATTATGGGTAGGATATCCAGCCATAAGATAACCGTTGTATTCTTTAACAAAGTTTTTGAAACAGGTATTTTTCCCGGGTACCATCACAACACTGCTTCTGGGGACTTGACAAACTGCGCAGGGAACATCATGGTCGGTAAGTCCTTTAAACATGCTTTCGTGGCTTTTATATTCTGCTCCATATATCAGGCCACTGTGCTTTGGGTTGTTTATCTGATTATCCCAGCCTGGACTTTTTGGAAGACATAAATAATTTACAGGTGCCCCAGGAGCAGTGTACATTCCCCCAGCTGCAAACCCTTCATAAACTATGGATGCACCAGCAGGACACGTCTTGCGTCACCAACGTGTGTAGATGCTTGTTATTTCAAGAGGGGTAGACACGTGCTCACCATTCTTTTCGAAAGCTCTGGCATCTGTTGGAATTTATATAAAACATTTTATTACATATTTTAAGTATATTTTTATATTTTTATTCTATTTGTTAAATTGAACATTTACTTTGCCGTGATTACTTCTTATTTCATATTGTTTGTATGAAATTAAAAAATAATTGGGATGCTGATTAAAATATAATACTACAATTTATCAAAATTGAAAGATTATCATTGTGCATTTATACATAACATAATAATCACCTGTATGTACTTATCAAATTAAAATAAATCAAATGCATCGTAACATATATCATTATGCTTTTGTCGACGAGTATTTTACTTACTAATCATTTCAAGTAAATGCAACATAAAATATCATTTAGATTACAGCAATTCGTTTTGTGAGTATAATCATTTATCTAAAATATATTTAAAATCTACCTTTGAGTTCTTTCAGTAGCATCGAAATTCATGCATCTTGAAGATCATATTTAGCATGGTCTAATAGCTTATTTATTGTGTCGTCTACGGAAGGATTCTCATCCACAGTTTTGTTATCATGCGTCCACGCACAGAGATAGAGTCCACAGAAGATGAATACTTTAGTGAAATACATTACTATTTATTGTAATATGTAAGCATCGACAGATTATCCCAAATGACTCGCACGGCACATATCGGTAAATATATAATATTTTTGACAGTCTAAATGTACTCGACCTTTAGTTTAAACTATGATGTGGCACTTTGTTTATCAGATTTCGTTAAGGTATGCTTTGTTTAAAGTCGTGTTTTTTCAACCTATCTGATGTAAATATTTTTGCTTCAATGTGCTACTTTAGGTTTATCTTTATTGAAAGTACAGTACGATGTATGATTTTATTTGTAGTTATTAAACAAGTCAATAACAATAACGAGTAAAAATATATAGAGAGCGGGAGAGTCTTCATATAATCATTAGGCCTCAAAACTATTAATTTTATTGACAAAATTATTCCGTCTTTTATTAAGCAAATGTCCTGTAAAAGATAATGCCGCGCAGGACTCTCAAAGGAGAACTCCAAACTGATGCAATTTGTAATCTGGAAGGGAACCACACACATGGTGTTTAAACGGTTGTCCTCGGTATATTGTGTTTTGCACAATTTTGTGTTCACTACTTTTTTCAGAAAGAACAAATCGCATGTCCAAATAACACGACAATGCAACACGGAAATCTTATATTGCAACAAAGGCAAACCTCTAAACCTAGGGAATGATTAATCCTTAAACGAATCACACAAATGGTATTTAAACGTTTTTCATTAAAAATGGGGTTGTTTCTTTACTTAATTAACCCATTACTTCATATAGACGTCTTTTTACGCCTTTTCGTCCCCCTTGAGGCCTCGAACAGTGAACAAAATGCCTTATTTAGACTCGAAACACTTGTTTTCAGAATTGATTTTGAAAAAAGTGATCACTTTTTCGGCGCCATCCTCTATCAAATGGAAACAAAAAGGGGCTCCAGATTTTAGACTTCTGAGTGGCTGATGGATTGCCCCTAGTCGAACTTAAGGTAACGTGTAACCAACGCTGAAAAACCTTTGACGCTATCTCAAACCATTAACAAGTTGCAGCACACTGGAATCAGTTTTGTTGAAAAAAAAACAACAACAAAAAATACACAATGCAAAACAGTGAATATTGGCAATTTTGAGACCCCTCGTTGCCATGGTAACATAAAACTTACAGTTGGGTTTGCCGTTACAAAGGCTATGGTCCTGTCAACAATTTTGCCTAGTTTGAACAGTATTGATGCCTTTTTTATATTTTCATAACAATCTGAACTTGTTACAGGAGGCTTTTCAATAAACACAGCCATTTTTCACAATATGCTTATGAAGTTATTGATTAAATATGTACACTTGATATAGAAAAAGAAAAACAATAGCCGGCCCCAAAACGACCAAGCCACGCGAAAATATCTTATCTATATTCCTTGACCTAGTGTTTTGTGTCTTATATCACAGATTATTAAAAGAACGACATTGCCAACATGTGTGATTCAGTTGAGGGCTAGAAATGTATTTGTTTGGAGTTTCTTCTTTACAATCATATAAAGACAAAGGAATATGGCCTCGAGTTTTCCGTGTCGTTACCGTAAAACACCGTATTATGAGGCCTACCAAGCAAGCACTATTTAAGTGAGTCCGTTCAAGAGTAAACATTGTTTAAGTCGGGGTGTTCTTTCTTACAGAAATAAAAGGCACAAAGTTCTAGACCAAGGAATATGGCTTAGAGTTTTGTTTGCATGGCATGGTCGTTTTTAAACATTTAAAATTTTGTTCTTTATATATTCATTTAAATTGAATGTAAAATAGTTGGTTTAAAACAATATTTGCTAATGCGAACCCTCAAAACACATTTCAAACCAATGTAAAAACGAATCATCATCGGAATCAATACAATGATGTTTTAATGATTGACGTTTATATGACTTTTCTTTAGTTGAAGAACTAATCGACTGTCCAAAAAATCGAACATTTAACGCAGACCTCTCGTCATATGTCTTGCGTTTTATCTTTGAATCTTATATTGCTCTAAGCTAATGAAATCTACCAGATCATTACTTCAACTTTTGGTGGTAACTGTGCATGACGTCAGAACATGTAAACACGTTTTCACACGCGCGGTTTTGTCACAGATTACTTAATTACATTTTCATAAAAATGTAAGACCAATGTTTCGTGATCATTCGAAATAATATAGATCTTAGTTTCAGAAGAGTGTTGCTCTCAAACATTTTAGTCGGTATACAGGAGAAGGCAAAGCGCCGATCCAAATAAGAACTTTGTTCGGGTTACGTATTACTTGGTATAAAAGGGTTCGAAAGCCCGCATGGCATGGCCGTTTGTCGAAAACTGATTTCTTTGTATATAAAGTGTATTAAAATTCGTAAAATAACCCATTTATTTTCAGCCGCGTATACAACCTTTATCTTATTATGAGGCATACTAAGGCATCTACTCTATTAGAAATTGACTCGGGCCGGGGTGGGCATTGATGTTTTCTTTTTGTTTCTGGTTTTTAATAGAAAATTTTTTCTTTTTAATATCAAGTGTATGAATGTTCGAAAAACAAATATTTTTAGGGTTGACGGCTAACAATTGCATTAGACTGGGGGTTTTCCTTACAGCAATATAATGTAGAACGTTATAACTTAAAGGAAATGTCCACAAGATGCCTTCATTGCATGTTCAATTTTTTATCGTCGATTCGTTATTTCTGTGAAAAATATGTATGCAAGACAGAAAACACAGTACCCCATTGTCATTACTTGAAAAACAGATTTTGTCTTATATATTTGTTTGCAGATAAGCAATTGAATTACATAACAGATTTTTTTACCGCACAGTTTTGCTTCAGGTGCTAACCGAATGCCCTCGGTATGTCAGCATGTCATGGCCGTTTTTGAGGTATTTTCTGTATGAACAAGTATACGAATATTTGTTGAAAACACCATTTTCTGGAACAACATGTTAAATCACCATTTCTTCAATTCTTTTCCGGATAGGCAATTGCATTAGATATTGTCATCAATTTTTATTTCAGTAAATCCTAAAATCAACTGCAAACCCCAACTGTCCATAAGTGTTGGTCTTCATGATTTCAAACCGGCACGAAACGGTGGTATTACTGCTCCATAAAAAGAAGATTGGCTTGGTTTGACATATGCATGCATGTTAAATGACGTTATTACATGAATGTATTACTAACACAATTAGTCGTAATAACATGGACGCTTGTACTTATAGATCCAGTAATGATAAAGTAGATGGTCTTAGATTAGACGTTTTTCTTCACAGCAACAACAACGTTAGGCTCAAAGTTCTAACTCAAGTACGATGATCGTGATAGGCCCACGATTTGTAGCCTTTTTGGACCGACGATTTCTTTTGATTGTGCATGGTCTAATAATTTTGATCAAAATGTCTGATTCCATGGCAGAATCTTCATTGCGTTAGTCTGGCGGTTTCTATTGTACATCAAATTATTGCACAACGTTCTAACTCAAGAAAAAGTTTCCGTGATTGGCTCGGAAGGCTTGATTTATTTTTAGGATCTGTTGAAAGTAAGCAATTGCATTTGATTAGACATTTGTAACATCAATGTAAGACACTAAGCACTTACCGATGGACAATTATCACGAGATACCAGTATGGGATGTTCATTTCTTTGAATAGTCGGTTTATTAATTTGTGTGTATGAAATGTATAAATGTATTAAAACAGTCGTAAAAACACCATCTCTTATATTCCGTTGCTGATAAGACCTTGCACAGGTTTGTCGTATTTTAGGAAAATACCAAGCAGCAACGAATGTGTTCTCAAGGTCTTGGTAAGAAACCGGGTTGTTCATTGAAAATTGAGCGATGACGAGTAATTTATCTTCTTTTGAAGATATTCTTTTTAGAATGCCAAAAGTCATTTAAAAGTCGACTTTTTTCTACTCGAGGAATGATTGAACAAGAAACACACCGAACAAAACCACCATTGCCCTACGCGACACATTCATTGTCATATTCAATGTGTTGATTCGTTCCTCCTCCATTTCTTACGAGACTTTTTCAACATTAATTCAGTCTTTTATATGCCCCGAATGAAAACTGAGAATAAAATGAAAAGTTTTACTTTGCTGATTACTGAACTGAAATAAATATCGAGAGCGGCGTTTAAATTCAATTTTTAAAATGCAGTCAAAACTAATCACCAATAAATTTTACCATTAAACAAGGTTGACCAAACTTAGAATGAAAGTGAACAATTGTTTTGTACCCTATCATTTCCTACAAACACCACTGGCTCATTTATTGTGGAATTGCTAAATAAAATGGAGTTTAAAACAACTATTAAGTGTTTAAGATTAAAGGATGTATTGGTATTGTTCATTATTTAAATGGCCATTTATCGCATGCCTTTGTATACATAAATTCAGCTCTTAAATGTCTGAAACAAATTATAGTTACTGTATTAAAGTTGGAAGAGTTTTGATGTTACAAAACTCATTTGCTTTAATTGAATAGCTAATTTGTTTTGTGTTTTAGTTATAATAACAGTTTTGTGTATTTGAATTGATAAATTAAATATTTTAGCCAAGGTAATGAAGGTAGAAAAGTTTCAAACGCATTTATCCGATGTAAATGTTAATATATCATCAAATATGTTTCGGTTGCACAAAGTTATATTTTCTTTAAATCACAACAATGTCACAGATTATTTGATGCATGTTTTCTTAAAATATCATGATATCATTGCGATCGTTAAATTGGCCATTTTAATCATTACTTTATTGTGATAATTAATAACGTTTAAATAAACATGTATTATCATAGATGTACAATCTTATATTATCTTTATTTGTAAGTCATACGTGGATTAAAAAACCCATTGGTTGAATGTGTGAGATATATTGAAATGTACTCTTTTTTTCTAATTTTTTTCTTTCTACACAGTTTGTTACCTACATTAGCCTACTTACATTAGAGCTGTAAATATGTTCCTTGGTCTTCTTTCTTCCTGATCTATATCTGACAGGTTATTTGTAAATTTGTTCATTTGCCAATACGAATGTGTTCTAAAGTGAAGTATACCTTTTGGTTTCCTGATCTTTATCTTCGTTCTTTTCTTCTTTTTAAAACAAAGAGTTAGGTGAAAAATATTTTTTAAGTTTGCTCTACCTAAAGAG